CTGTATAAACTTGTATACAAAAAATTATATCTCTATAATGTGATCATTTATTAATTACTTATATAATTATATAATTATATAATTATAAATAGAAATTATTTATGTATTGGTCTCTTTGATCAGACATAGTCAGATATAGTCTCTACATTATTGAAAGTACATAAAAAATATTTCGCAGATAAAATCCAATTATAACTAATCAGAATATAATAGGATCTTATTAACTTATTCTCGATTGCATACACCATTCACATTGGTCGATGCTTAGTAATTTTTTACTTTTTTACTAATGAGAATGTTTTACATTAAATTGGTTAATTAGTGATATGTACAAAATGTACACAATCAAAGCTTTCCAGTTTTATTAAACTTGTTGAAACAGAACTCCAGAAAAATAAATCTTTCCTTTATCCTCTCTTCCTTTTTCTTTTCTCACTCTCTCTCTCTTTCTTTCTCGTTTAAGTACAAAATAACATTTTTGATTAATTCTTTTAGTCTTTTGAAAAAATTTACTCGTACTAAATCGGTCCTTCATCTATGTATGCGATTTTCAGCGATTCTCAGCATTTCATGCACGTTGACTATCTTTTCCCGTACTTTCTCCAGCTGCTTGCCGCGCTGTTGTTCAATGCGATCAATCTTTAGCCAATCTTCATAAGACACAATTTGGACTGAGTTCTTATTGCATAACTCATAGCACAACTCGCGTCTGGCATCACCTCCTTTCAAATTGGAGGGCAAGTCATTGTATATTAATCTAGCGACTTGGAAAGCGTTTCTCATGGTCGTTAGAATGACCCCAGTTGGACCAGTCCCTGCCCATCCTGCGACATAAAGAGGTGCTAGCTCACCGTTTCTCTCTTCGATCTTACCGTTAATGTTCTCCAAGCATCCCATCTTTGCATTACATGGTATATCTTTATATATTTGCTCGGTCTTGTAACCGATGCTGCGTAGAGCCAGACCGCATGGGATCTCTTCGAATTTGCCGGTTGTCTCGGCTACCTGATTTTGTATCGTCTCTCCTCGCAAGTGATTGATAGCAAATTTGATGCTCTGTAATTCTTTATTGCCATGAAACTCGATGGGGCTGCGTAGAAAGATTTGATGTAGTTCTTTTGCGTGCACCGAGTCATTCTTGGATTCTTCTAAAGACTTCAACATGAGTTCTGTTAACCGTTTCCGGGGTCTGTCTAAAGTTGGTACAATTGTCTGTACGTTTTCGAAGTCTTGCTCTCGCCAAAAAGTTTTACAATCTTGCAGCTTCAGAATTTCCCGCAGTTCCGCGGTTGTAAATGCAGCCTGCAAAGGTCCTCTTCGTCCGACCATGATGACTTTTCGCACTCTACTGCGACTTAAAGCTTCCAAAGCGTACAATGTGATATCAGTATTCTAAAATAACCAAGAGAGAGATTTCAAATGATTGAAAATTAAAAAATATTTTTTAAATTATATAATTTAATCTTTAGAATTCTTATGTTATTTTGTTGTTATCCACATTCCTCTGATAGAAAATTCCTAATTAAAAATTAAACGCTAGTTAGAGATTTAGGTATCACCTTAAGCTTGTCAATCGGCGTCAAAAGAATTCTTGCGACATCTATGGCTACATTGCCTTGACCTATGATAACTGCTTCTTCTACATCTAAGTTAATCTTCAGATCTTTATCATCTGGCAATCCATTGTACCAACCAACAAAATGCCGGGCTGATATTACATTATTTAAATGTTCACCAGGTACATTGAGAAATCGATCTTCTTGAGCGCCATAAGCCTGGAATGAAAATCAAAAAGTAATTATTAATTACAAAGATTTGACATATACTAATTAGAATAAATAATTAGATTTTGAATTGATGTAATGATTACTTGATACTTATTACACAATTATTAAAAAATTAATAATTGTAATACTTATTTCATTATAAAAGTATTATATGTAATAAATAAAAATATGTAAATGTAAAATATACAAAAAGTTACAAAAAATTTATAATATGTTCAAAAATACTTAAATAAATTTAATTGCTGATTATATTAGTAAATTATAATAAAAAAAGGATAAAAGTTAATCCTTTTTTCATTATAATTTACATTATTGAAACATTATAATATTTAAAATAAGTAAAGCATTATATCTTACATAACATGATGAATTCAGGAAATAAAAGTGTTAATTACAGTTAAGTGATAATATAATTCATTTTGAATATCAAACATACCAATAACACAGCATCATACAAATTTCGCAGGTAGTTGACATCAATATTGATACCAAGTTTAACATTGCCCAGGAATTCAACACGTGGATTGGTCGCGATTTTGTGAAATGTATTGAGGACATTCTTCACATCCTGATGATCCGGAGCAACCCCATAGCGTATTAAACCAAAAGGAACTGGTTGTTTGTCCAGAATGGTGATTATTGCATTGCTTGAATCCTGTTATTATCAATTTCATACAAATTTTATTTCATTTTCTTATTCTGTACAGGATATTTATAAGAAAAAAATCATTTAATAGATAATTCTTATATACAAAATACTTATACTATTCTACTTATTACACACAAAATATTAGTATTATGGAATATGCATGTCTTCGGAAACAATTAATCAGATTATTATTAATTATAATTAATCTATTTTGTATATGCATATTATACATGTTATTACCCTCAGTAACTGTTGAGCTGCATAGAAGCCCGCTGGACCTGCACCGACAATACATACTTGAGGTACGGATTGTTGTGCTATAGTACATAGTATACGAGTACAACTCTTGAAAATGTTGTATCTCATCTTTATATGTGTGCAATTGATTCAAAACTGAGTTTCACTGTTATGATACGTTTCGACAAAATCATCAATCGAGCTCTCGAATGCTGTTCTGTTATAAGAATTAAAACAGTCCGTGAAAGGAGACAGAATCTTGATCACTGTTCTATGTAGTAAATTGCAAAACATCAATTATTCCTCTTCCTATAAAACAAGCAAATACAATGAATCTGGAAGTATTTATCAGCCCGTATCATATTCGCTGTTCGATAAAAATATTATCGCATAAAATTATCAGAAAATAAGAATTGAACGAAAATTCGGGAGCATGTCCCTTCGATTTCGAGGTTAATTCCGCAAAGTGCGCACGTGGCATTGGACGCGTTCAAGTCGACAAAGCGACTGTCCTGCTCGCTAATAAATTTGATTGGTTGTTACTTACAGATCCAACCAATCATATTCAATCGCTCAGCGAGTAGGCTATCCTTGAACGCGCTTATCCTTGAACGCGCCTATTACGATATAAAAAAAAAATATCTGTCATACTTATCTTAAAAATATCTGTCATATGTCTGTCAAACTTATCCTGTCATAAAAACTGGGATTGCCATTCGATTTAGCATGATAGTTTTTTCTCGATTATATGTGTATTAATATATTTGCAACATGTTATCGTTTTTTTTACATCGTGGATTTAGATATAAGGATGTTAGCTTGGAGGTTAGTTTGGAAGTTTTATTTTCATTTAATTAAAAAATAAAAATATTACTGTTTTATAAATTTATATTTGTTCATAATAAAAAATTTGTAATTACCAATCAAGACTCCTATAATGCTTTCAATTAAAAATTCGCTTAAATAAGAGTTAAAAGATCAAGTAATATTAGGGATTGAGAAAGAATATTAAAAAATTTTTACTTTAAAACGATAGAAGCTAATAAGAATTGATGAAATAGTGGTCCAGACATCCATAATGTGTATGTCATTATTCTGCCATTGACGGATGTACATTGGATAGTAAAAAGAAGTATATAATTTGACTTCATATGGCCAAGAAATATAAGCAAGAGAAATACGGCCTAGGTTGTCCAAAAGGCTATTCAAATAAGCCGAAACAGCAGAAGAACGAGTCGAAGATAAATAATAGTGCTAATGCTGACTAGCATTTTCGTAGTTTTGGCTAGTAATTTGAATTAATTCTTGCACGAGACACGAAAGTGTTTTAATAGATTTTATAAGAATTTTGGAAAAAGTTTTTGCAGAAAAGCTTTAGAAATTTTATGAGAATTATACTGTAAAGTGCTTATATTAAATTATATGCATATTATAATTAAGTACGGTAGAATAAATACAAATGATCTAGATTAGATTGCTTTATTCTTACGGGATTTTTATTTATATGTATGTATTATTACAGAATAAATGTGACAATCTTTACAATATGATATTTTTATAATAGTTTCCAAGATATTTAATGGATGCTTTTTATTTACGATGCTCTTAATAACATGTCGACTTGAGTTGAAGCTGATAACTTTGATTAAGTGTTTTATGTATATAATAACTAGGTATATATAGAGAGAATAGTTAATGCGCACAATATAATGATTTTCGTAAAGTGAAGATACGTAAAGTTGTTCTTATAATAATAATATTATAATAATAATAAATATTATAATCTGTTAAAAATTATTTATCAATTAAGAATATGCGGTAAGTATTGACAAAAGGGAGCCTATTTCCGATGAGTTTGACTTTGTTTATGTTGTCAAGATCATGATTCTAAGTGACTTTGAAAAGAGACTTTTAATCATCGATCATTATCCGTTAAAAAATTAATAATAAAAACATATCTTTCGAACACAACTCTACTCCAATGAAACAAATTCTCTGCTTTAAAAACGCAAATTATTTTTTATAATTATTGTGTTTTTAAATCTTGTTTTAAAGCAGAAAATTTATGTTTTTAAAGAGACTTTCCACGCGAAACGGAATCCATCCCAACTCTCCCCATGTCTAGAGGCAATACCAGGTCTATAACTGTAATGTTCACAAATAGGTAGGTTTCCAAATATATACACTTCACTATTCGTAATATACCTTCTAGGCTAATGTCATCTATTCCTACATATTATAAAATTTTAATTTACTCTATCTCATAACTAAAACTAATTCCCCACTTAATTATTGTTTGAGTTATTATTGAGGATATTCATACTGATATGTTGTTATCAATTTGCCATCGCAAAAATTCGAATTCCAATAAGTTCAACGTGACAGACATAATGCTGTATCATCTTGTCCTGAGTTGTTGAAATTGGTTGCTGTAACCCAGATAGCTAAATAAGGATAATATGTTGCCATTTTGCTGTCACTTATTCCGTATTCAATTTGACCAAACTAAGGTGTTTCCACAAACTGTCTTTTAATTGTATCTTAAGTAACTACGCAAAGTATTTGTGTAATAATAGTTTATTTTTATAATAGTTTACGTTAGTAATATGATAAGCTGTAGCACTATTGTGCTGCGAATCGTCAATTATATAATTTTGAAGAGAGTGCACAGAACATTTAAGATACTTTTCATCTAAAAGAATTAATTTTTAAAATTTTAATTGTCTTAGCAATTTTCAATTTAATGTGACAAAGAAAGAAATGGAAAGCAAGAATGATATCATAATAAAAAGAAATAATTAGACAATGGCCAAAGTTCGATTAGAAAAGTTATCTACTTACTAACTACAATTTTCTTTGGTACCCCTACCACATGTATGCTCAATTTTCTGAAACTACTTCCGTTCAGTGTGTGCCTTCTGAAAAATTCTCTCAGCTTATTAATATTTATGTTCTCTATTGCAAGCACTTCCTTTTCACATCTGTCAAACATGTATTGCCGCTTCATGATCTCACTCCAGTCTCTGTTAACTCTGTTTTTCAGAATCTCGCCATCGTCATGTTGCTTTGAAGTTCTCAGCCCGTCTTTGATATCATCTAATTTCTTTTCTGAAAACTGTTCTAATATGATTCGAAACGAATTCAGAAATTCCTCGATCTGTTGATCAACGTATTCAGTTGTGCATTTATCTGCCTGAGTGTAAACAGTTATAGAATATCCTAATATTCCATTGATATTTCTAAAATCGCACGAAACATAATTAAGCTTTTTTTGGGTTCGTAGATGATTCATTAATGATTCTTTCATTATCATTTAAAAATATGACAGATGAACATGATATTAAATAAAATCAATGGTAATCGAAAATGTTATTCACATTTTATTTACTATTAAAAATAAATATAAATTGAAAATTCCATATATTTAAATGTATAAAACAATGTTATTAAATGCTTACGATCATCAGCTCAATTAAAACCGATAATTCAATCGTAGCAATACCGACTTGATAATAATTTGTCACTATTGAGTTTACATCAGTTTGGTTAATATTTTTCAACTTGAAATAAGATATGCATCGGGATATTTCAGTGATCCAAAACCATGGCTTCGTCTTGTCTTTCAAGGAACGGCAGTTAATTTTTTTGATAAGTCGTTGTATAATATTGATCGTAAAATCTTTCGTTACGTTGCCTTCTACAAGGCATTGGATATACATATTTTTGATGAAGTATTGTACAAAATATTGAAAACATTCAAAATTATACCATTTCTTTAGAGCCTTATATTTGTGAACGTGTGTACAGTTGCCGTTTTTTAGTATCCATAATTCCACATCCCTATGA